TTTCTGGATAATGGTTTTATTCTAAAGTTTGTTATATCTTTACTTTATCTTCCTAATCTGCAACGTACTGTGAAAAATTGTCAGGTCTGTAGTCAATCCCAGAAGTTCTGTCCCGAAGCCATCACATTTATACAAACGATGTTAATGGCAGCTGTGAGTAATAAACAAAGATACAAAACATCTCAGGTTTTTTCTCATTTATACCTTTTTCGAGGAATAAACCTTTTTACAGAGTCAGTTTGCTAATGGTGATTTGCATAGTGATTCTCTCAATGGAAAAATGACTTACCTGGTATATGTTTATTTGCACAGTTATATCATCTTATGGAGTTAAAGACGCTAAGTCCCCTACTCCATATGGAAGGCCGTATTGAAGAGATTAATTCCTTAGATTTTCTAGCAATAATGGACTTGCCAGCCGATTCTCCTTATTTTACATCGGATGATTTCAGGTTTGTATAGTGTTTTTTTCCTTTTAATCATTATAACAATTAGGGATTAGGGATGATTGCTTATTTATATGAATATATTATTTGTATATTTATTAGATTTATATATTCATTAGATTTAAATGTTATATGAAGTTTTCTGCTTGCTGTATTGTACATGCAGGGCCAGCATCCTTTTTGCAATTATTGGAAATCTCAAAGGATTTATCAAAATTTACGAGGGATTCAAATCCTTCCCCGAGATATTCCTGCCGATTTCAGAAATATTAAACGGGCTGTCAGAAGAAGATCTTTTACCCGATCAATTGAAGGCCGAAATCAAAGACATTACCCAACTTATCGAGAAAAAATCCGAAGAACACCACTTATTACGACAGCCATTGAGAATCCGAAAGCAAAAAGTTATCAAAACAGCAATCCCAAAGTTTGAGGACAAGTAAGAGTCTCCCTCAGTAAATTAATTCTTGTTTGGTTTGGATATTGTTAATTATATGTTATTAGAACTAACTCGTGATATGTTTGTAATAATTATTTGCAGTTTTGTTAAGGGGAGGGATTATGATCCTGACAGAGAGCGAGCCGAGATAAAAAAGCTGAAGAGAAAATTGAAACAGGAAGCTAAGGGGGCCATGCGTGAATTGAGAAAGGATAATTATTTCTTGTTGGAGGTTAAAGATAGGGACAAAGCGCGAATGGAGGAAGAAAAATCTGAGAAGCTCGGTAAATTTAGAGCTTTTCTTCAAGAACAGGAGCATGCTTTTAAATCTGGGCAACTCGGGAAAGGAAAAGGCAGGAAGAGAAGGAGATAAGTCTCTCTCTCTCTCTCTCTCTCTTAGTGTAGTTGCATATGGATTAATAAGAAATTGGGCAAATATGTCATATTATTAATGCCAAAGCTTGAGATATATCACATTTGATGCTGCTATTTCAAACTTTTAGAAGTGCTTCAATTTGGGTCTTTGTTTTGATGGATAGTGATTTTTTTTTTCTTAGCTAAGGTACTTGTTTAATAGATATACATTAGATATACATACTTTTATACTGTAATATAATATGACTCTAAAAACAAGATAAACAAAAGCATGACATTTCATATTAAAAATGTACAGAGGTTTCAAATGACAGACATTATATTTTCAACCCCCTAAGATCCTGAAATTCAACTGAAGTCACGAAGGTCACAAAAATGCTCGGCAAAAACCATCAACAAAATCTTCTTAATACTCGTAAGCATCGTCCTCAAAAGCCCAGCAAAAAATATCCACAAAATCATCCGAATACTCTAAGGTAGAGCAAAAATTATTGACAAAATCGTCTGAATACTCGTAAGGATCATCCTCTAAAGCAGAGCAAAAATTATCCACAAAATCATCCGAATACTCATAAGGATCATCCTCAAAATTATACCAATACTCAGCATGATCATCCTCAAAATAATCCCAATACTCAGTTGCTATTGGAAGCCATTTACTGTTTTTCTTTGCTTAAGCCGGTGATTTTTACCTTCTGTAAATGTGAGAAATGTGTGTGGGAAGGGAACTGGCATATTTATCTTGGACTACGTGAAAGAAAAACGATTCATATTATTTAAATTGATGCTTAATTTTCTTCATATTATTATTATTATTATTATTATTATTATTATTCCCTCAAATTCGAACTGTCATTTATTTAAATTGATGCTTAATTTTCTTCATATGCCTTTTAGTTTTCCACGGTAATTCGAGGCTTTCAAATTTGACATTTAAAGGGGTGATTACATAAGCAGAAATAAATTGATTAAAGTGGTTCACATTCTATCTCGTTTCAACCTCATGTGTAGTAATGAAATTTTATAAAACTTAGATTTTATTCCGATCAAATGATATTGCGGGTACAATAGTTATTTATTTCTTCTTTTTTTTTTTGAACTTGGATTTGGCTCTTGAAAGGTGAATTAGCAGTTTGGATCCCTTTTGACTAACATTAACATGGAAATCGAATAAGTCATTCTAAAATTAAATGTTAGGACTTGATTTGGTTGTAGAACTTCTTGGACGTTTTATGTGAAGATGGATTTATACTTGACTAACGTTCTCACTCGAGGGTTTGAAAGCTTTTTATATGAATCAAACATTATTTGGCATGATTCCGTGTTGAACATCGATATTCAAATGGAATGACTTTGAATATTTGATTGAGTCATTTTGATCTAGTCCATTATTTGCACGATATCAGAAAAATTGTCAACACTGACTCTTCTAGCTCTATTTGCAATGGACTCAAAATAAATAACGACATTAATTAATATAGTATTAGAATTTCAATATCTCAACATAGTTTCAAAGTCTAATGAATGAGATAATAGCTTATCAATTATAAGGATGATAACAGACACCATAATATAGTCCAATAATGCATTACAAAAAGCAGACAACCATAAACAGATTACTACAGAAACAGTAAACCCCAGCAAATTACCAATATTATAATTTCTACCCACTAAGATACTGAAATTCAACTTTAGTCACGAAGGCGACGAAAATACTCAGCAGGATCATCCTCAAAATCATCTCTCGGCATATAATGGTTTCTTCCGGGAGCTTTCATCATCTTTTTCTCCCCTCCTCCGAACAGCTTCGACAGGGCCCACACGGCCAGGAGGGCGCCGCCGGCCACAGCCAACACCGCCAGGGAAGTGGCCGGAAGTTCCTCGTCGTTCTCCTTCTCCAGTACCACCGCCGATTTTCCTTTGTTTCCTCCGTTTTGGTTGGAAGCCATGATGTTTTTTTTTTTTTTGTTTTTGGTGAGTGTGTGTGTGTAAGCTTGTGATTTATTTTTATTTTATTTTAATTTTAATTAATTTAATATGTAAATGTGGGTAATGACTAATGAGAATGGCATATTTATAGAGGGAATGAAAGAAATAAAATGATAAATATTGGAAAGATAATAGAGTTGTTTATCTTGTAGTACGTGAAAGAAAAACGATTCAACTCCATATAAATGATCAGTAATTTTTTTCAAATTAATATTACATCTGATTTGAAATTGAAAGGTTATTTAATTTAATAGGCTGGTTGTAATTATTTGTTTATTCAAGCTTCTATGCAGTGTTTTAAATATCATATCGGTGGTCATACCGGTCTAGCTACCGGTACGCGGTATTACTGGTCGGACCGGTAATATCGGCGGTATTACTGGATTAGCAAATATAATGCTATACAAAAATATACATAAAAATATATAATGCCAAATGTAAAAAAGTAAAAATATAAATGACCATAATCATTAATTTCAACTTCTCAATAAGATCAAAATAAAATATTTTAACTACCAATTTAAATTTTATTATTTTAAATTAAAAAAATATTTTTTTTTTATTTTTTTTATTGGCCGGTATTTTAGACCGGTATTTTGCGGTTTTTACGTATCATCCCGGTACAAACCGGCATAACCGTAAATCTAATATTTTGAGTGTAATTGTAACATACCACTGGCTGGTATCCGGTATTACCAGCCGGTACGTATTTAAAACATTGATTCTATGTGAGGTCTTTTTTT